GTGGGGCTAATTTTTCTCCACTTCCTTATGAAGTTTTTCCACTCTGGCTGGTAGGAACACCAAGTATTTACACCCTTTGTGAACTCTGAGGGTTGTTCCCTCTGCTCCTTTCAAGTGTCTCTGTCCCTGGTCTCAGCACCCATATATGCCCATTAGTTCTCAGACCCTCAAAAGAAATCTGCATTGATCGAGCTCTCCCCTTCCTGTCCCCCCAGCTATCTTCTTTCCAGGACTCAGCTCTGCAAACTGTAGCCTCCTTACCCTTTCTAGAACCCCAGTGTTGACTCCTCAAGGTCTGAAAAGTGTTATTTTACACATTTTGTCTATTTTTTCCCAGTTGTTCCAGACCGGGGGTGAGGGGGCGTGTAAATCCGATTCCTGAGGCTCCATTTTAGGCAGAAGAAATTGCTTTGATTTTTTTTTTTTAAAGGAAGCACATACATGTTTTAAAATATAGTTTAAGTTATAAACTTTTGAGCCATTTTTAGGCACTATGCCTTTTATGTATATTGTTTTATTTTTCCTCCCTTTGACATGGGTACTACTGTTAATCCCATTTACAGATGAGAAAACTGAGGCACAGAGCAGGTGAATGACTTGCCCAAGGTCACCCAGCCAGTGAATGGTAGAAAGAAGGAACAAACGTGATCACCTGGCTCTGGAGGCTATGCCCCTGACTCCTGCCCTCCACCATCCATGCAGTTAAGAATTACTTTTTTCTCTCTTTTCTTTGTTTACTGAGATGAAATTTACATACCATAAAAGTAACCGTTTTAAAATGAACAATTCAATGGCATTTAATATATTCACAATGTTTTACAACCACCACCTCTATCTAGTTCCAGAACATTTCTATCACCCCAGAGGAAATCCCATCCCCATTAGCAGCCACTCCAGCCCCCGGCGACCACTAATTTACTTTCTGTGTCTATGGATTTGGCTGTTCTGGACATTTCATATACATGAAATCATACACTGTGTGGCCTTTTGTGTCTGGCTTCTTTCACTCAGCACGCTGTTCTCATGGTTCATCCACATTGTAGCATGAATCAGGGCTTCATTCCTTTTCATGGCTGAATAATATTCCATTGTGTGGCTAGACCACATTTTATTTATACTTTTATCCACTGATGGACACTTGGGCTGTCTCTAGCTCTTCATTATTGTGAATAGTGAGGAGTTACTTTTATTTATTTATTTTAAAAGGTTTATTTAAGTAATCTCTACACCCAACATGGGGCTCAAACTCATGACCTTGAAATCGAGTCACGTGCTCTTCCAACTGAGCCAGCCTTGGCACCCCAGGAGCTACTTTTGAATGTAGGAATGGATGAAAAGAAAAGAGAGGTCCCAGCTAGCAGCTAGTCCAAACCCGCATTTATAGTTGAGGGAAGTGGGCACTGAGGTCTACATTTGTCCCTAGGCCACGCTTGAGCTGCTCAGTTGTTCAGCCAATGTTCACAAGCACCTAATCTTGTGCGGCTGGAAGTGCTTCTCAGGAGGCTGAGACATGAAGGCTAAGGAGAGAATCCACTGACCAGAAAGTAAGGGGAAGAGTGTTCCATGCAGGGAGAACAGCCAGTGCAAAGGTCCTGAGGCAGGTGTGAGTCTGGTGTATGGGAAGCCATGTGAGGAGGCTGGTGGAAGTGAGCCAAGGGTGGGGGGAATGAAGGGGGAGGAGGAGGTCAAGGTAGTTGGCAGTGTCCCGCTCCCACAGGGCCGCATGGACCATGATGGGGAGTTAGGATTTTTATTCTGAGTGTGGCAGGAGCACAGCAGAGTGGGAGCAGGGGAAGGGTGTGATATGATTTTAGATTCTGCCTTGGGAGGCAAGAGGTTGGGGCAGTGGGGGGTGGGAGACCATGGGGCTTGGGTCTCCAAATCAATTTGCCAAACAAAACTTGGGGTACCCCATAAATCCCACCCATGGATCGCTCTAATATCCACCGGTGTAGCATTTTCAAACCACTGAGTGAGATCTGGGAGTACTATGAAACAGCCCTGCTGGTAATTATATTCGGAGTATTCACTTTACCGTGAAGAATGCTCAAGCGGAAGGTGGTCTTTCCGTGTTTGTGTGGCCATTTGAAACCATTGCTCTGGGTGCTTGGCGTGCAACAAGCCAGTGAGTGTTTATGAACCGGTGGGAATGGAAACAGGGATCCCAGATGTAAAGCTTTCTCAGGGGTTTCACTGGCGAGCCCCCTGGCCTGCTTCGTCTCCAGATCCCCACACCCTTTCAAGAATGTTCTCCTTGATCCCATTGCACAGTCCAGGAAAGTGAGGCTTAAATGAGAAGGGAACGTGAAGAGTAAAAATACTAAAGACTGAGAGAAATAATTGTAAGAGAAACGAAATCATTTACAAAGTTTCTCTTAAGTGTGTTTTATTTATTTTTTTTAGAATTTTTTTTTAAGATTTTATTTATTTATTTGAGAGAGAGAATGAGAGAGAGAGAGAGCATGAGAGGGCGGAGGGTCAGAGGGAGAAGCAGACTCCCCTCCAAGCAGGGAGCCCGATGCGGGACTCGATCCCGGGACTCCAGGATCATGACCCGAGCCGAAGGCAGTCGCTTAACCAACTGAGCCACCCAGGCGCCCCGGGGTGCCCCACTCTTAAGTGTGTTTTAAATGTCTTGAAATTGGGCGCCTGGGTGGCTCAGTTGGTTAAGCGACTGCCTTCGGCTCAGGTCATGATCCTGGAGTCCCGGGATCAAGTCCCACATCGGGCTCCCTGCTCGGCAAGGAGTCTGCTTCTCCCTCTGACCTTCCTCCTTCTCATGCTCTCTGTCTCTCATTCTCTCTCTCTCTCAAATAAATAAATAAAATCTTTAATTAAAAAAAATAAATGTCTTGAAATTGACTTCACAGAAAATGTCACCCCCCCTCACCTCCCAACCACTTGCCCCAGCAGTGGTCTGCAGCCCACCTGTGCACCAGTGTTTTGGGGGGGCAGGTCTGCCCCCTGCCCTCGTCTGTCTGACCATGGGATTTCCTGGGGGGCTCTTTCTGATCCTGCACATCATTGGGCTTGGTGACAGGGATGGGGTCCCAGTTCCCTCTGTTGGTGTTTGAGACTCCCCACACACATACATCATGTCCCGCCTACCCTCCAGGTGACCTTGATGCACCCTCTTGGCGGGGGGGGGGGCAATTTGGAATGATCTTTCTGTAAGGAGGGACCTGCCTTTCCAGGTGTTGGATACTCTCCAGCAACTTTGGTCAAATGAACATGGAGTTGGGACAGCGTGGATAGCAAGGTCAAGGCAACCAGATAAAGAAATCCTGAAGCCACTTCAGGAGATGCAGGAACTCACCTGCAAGTGAATTAATTCAGTGAGGCGAAGTGCATGCAAAAAATGCTCTGCCTGGGACCCATCCATAGGACCCCGTGACATCCACCAGTGGTAGTGTTTCAAGCCAGTGCATGAGATTGAAGGATGGTAGGAGACAATCTTGCCAATAATCATTATTTGGAGTATTAATTTTACTATGAGAAATACTCAGTGTTTCATGTTGAGCCAAAACCTTCATCACTAAACATCTCTCCCTGCCCCTGGGTGCTGGGGCTGGAAGGATCACTGTGTTCCTACTGTGCCTTGGGCCATCTGGGGAAGGCGACCTGGTCCTGGGCTCTACCTGCAGGGAGTGCAGAGGTGGACACTTGGTGGACCACATTGAGAATCCAAGGAAAGAAAGCATCGATATTTCCCCCAGAAAAGGGCACATGCAGGGAGTTATCCATAGCCCAATTTTGTGCACAATTCATGATATTTCTTTTTTTTTTTTTTTAAGATTTTATTTATTTATTTGACAGAGAGAGACACAATGAGAGAGGGAACCCAAGCAGGGGGAGTGGGAGAGGGAGAAGCAAGCTTCCCGTGGAGCAGGGAGCCCGATGCGGGGCTCGATCCCAGGACCTTGGGATCATGACCTGAGCCGAAGGCAGACGCTCAACAACTGAGCCACCCAGGTGCCCCCAATTCATGATGTTTCTAAGCCACCTCATGCTCAAGGTGGTTAGGGGGTCCCTAAGGAGTTGGGTCCATCTGTAAACATATATTGAGACCCTGCTATGTAGCAGGCACCAAATCTATAAATAGTTCTTTTTTTTTAAAGATTATTTATTTATTTATTTGAGAGAGAGAGAATGAGAGAGAGAGCACATGAGAGGGGGGAGGGTCAGAGGGAGAAGCAGACTCCCTGCCGAGCAGGGAGCCCGACGACGTGGGACTCAATCCCAGGACTCCAGGATCATGACCTGAGCCGAAGGCAGTCGCTTAACCAACTGAGCCACCCAGGCGCCCTATAAATAGTTCTTAACAGATGTAATGAAGGGGAAAGTGTAGTAACAACAGAAAAACAATAGTAATGGTAGCCAACATTATTTGAGCACTTATTATGTACCAAGCATGGCTTAAAACTATTTGTGTGAACGTGTTCATTTAATTCTTTTCTTTTTAAAAGATTTTATTTATTTATTTGACAGAAAGAGAGAGAGAGCACAAGTTGGGGGGAGCAGGAGAGGGAGAAGCCAGGGAGCCCAATGTGGGGCTCAATCCCAGGACGCTGGGATCATGACCTGAGCCCAAGGCAGATGCTTAACCAACTGAGCCACCCAGGCATCCCTCATTTAATTCTTATAGCTACCTTGTGAATTAAGTCCTTTTTTATCCTGATTTTATGGATGAGGAAGCTGAGGCTCAGAGAACATAAGTAACTTGCCCAAGGTCACACAGCGTTCAAACTGGGCTGCTTAGCTCCAAAGGCCGAGGCATTATGCTGCTGCCCATGGAGATACAGAGAGAGTTTGAGATGGGTGGAGGGGAAGGGGGATGAGGGAGGAGCTTTGGGGTAGACCAGCACATGCACCTTCCACTCTGCACACTGAGTCAGGAGCCCCACCTGGTTTCTGAGGATGGGTCAGTATATCCACTGGGAGCACATTCACCCTGCAGGCCTTGCCTAATGCCACAACACTCTGTCTCCTCTCCCTTCCAGGAGCTGGAGAAGCTCGGGCTTGGTGACAGCGTGGACCTGCATGTGTATGAGATTCCGGTCGAGTACCAGACGGTCCAGAGGCTCATCCCTGCCCTGTGGGAGAAGCACAGCCCACAGGTGAGTGGGGCGAAGGCAGGTGCTCCCTCATCAGGACCTGCAGGTGGGCACTCCACACGGATGATTTGTTTGGCTTTGTCCTGCTTCAGCCAGTGCCATGGCCTTGTCCCCCAAAGGGCCACACTTTCCTGGGTTACCCGTGGGTGTGAGGCAGGAGAGCAAACATCTGGGACCTCCCAGAAGCTGGCTCTATCTCACTGGACAGTCAGTGTCAGTTGTGACATGTTTAGTTATATGTGACCATCAGAACACACCTTAACTCAGCTTAAGCACAAACGTTTGTACGCTTCAGGTATAGCTTGATCCAGGCACTCCTCCAGTGCTATCAGCATTCCCTCTTGGCCACTCAGCTTTGCTCTGCACTTTGCTTTTGCTTTGGCAAAGATAGATGACTGCTGACTGATACCCTCCCAACTCAGCCCCTCAGCAGAACAACTTTCCTTTTGATAATTTCCCAGAGTCCATGGCTGATTCTCACTGGTGCACTTGGGTCCCATGCCAGTCCCTGAGCCAAGCACTATGGCTGGGGATTGGAGGAAGGAAGACATGCTCTGATTTGTGAGGCCTGGGTCACATGCCTACTTTGGTGGCCAGGGAGTGGCATCACCTCTCTCCAAACTTCCTGGAAGGGGAAGGGGGATTTGGGGGTTCCCCAAAGGGAAAATGAGAATGGGAGGGAACAGGCTATTGCCAGATATGGTGGAATGGAGGCCAGACAAGCTGGAGCCACACTGTCCCACCAGATGATCCGCGTGGCCCTGCCAAAACAATGGGCTTAGAGAGCTCCAGGGGGTCAGGAGTGAAAGCTGCCTGGGAAGTTCTCGGGGGTTGGCGTCTCTGATGAGTGAGGTACTGGTCACCTGTGGGGGCCCCACCCAGCTTCCCACGCTAGCCCGCTCTTGCGGATTTCCCAGGGCCGACCCGTGGAAACTTCCTTCCTCGTGAGCCCTTCTGTCTAGTCTCAAGTGGAATTTGTGCCGTTGTAGAGGGGGACCTGGAAGGTTAGTGAGATGTGACTGAAGCTCTGTCAGAGGGCATTTTCTCCTGCTTTGTGCGTGCCGTCGGGCCTTTAACAAAAATACCTTAAAGCATGAACATGTTTTTCACAATTTCTACACCATAGAGAATCACCCCTGCTTAGTTACCTGGCACCACGATTATGGCTATCACTCACGCACGTATCCGCACACGCGTGCGGTTGAAGCAATCCGCGGGGCTCCTGCGGAATTGCAGAAATGCATTCTCACATTCCCGGAGGCCGGTAGTCCGCAATCCGGGCGTCAGAGCGGCACCCCCTCCCGCCGGGGCGCGGGGCATCGCTGGTCTCCTCCAGCTCCTGCGGGCTCCACGCGTTCCTTGGCTGGTGGCCGGGTCACTCCGGTGTCTGTGGTCACATGGACTTCTCCACCTGTCTCTGTCTTTCCTTCATGTGTCTCTGAAGGACACGCGTCAGTGGATTTGGGGGCCACCCAGAGAGTGCAGGGGGATCGCATCACGCGATCCTTTACTTAATCACATCTGTAAAAGACCCTTTTTCCAAATAAGATCTCAGTCACGGTTTCCAGGCAGTGGACAGGGGTGGTTTTGTTTGTTTGTTTTTTGCTTTTGGGGGCGGTCTTTTTTGTTGTTGTTTTGCTTTTGTTTTTTGGGGTTTTTTTGTTTTTTGTTTTTTGTTTGGTATGAGGGGAATATCACCATTCAGCTCATTATACTACAGCTGCTGCTTTGTTTTCACATTCCCCAATATTCAGTTTTTGGAGTGCCAGATAACACAGTACCAGATGTGGGGCACCCAGTTAGTGAATGAATGAACTTTGTACCTCCAAAGAGTTTGATTTTCCAGCAGTGTGGCCCTCTAGACCTTATCATGCCATTTCGTAGGACCCTTTAAATTTTCCACCAGGCACATTTTTATTTTTTTATTTATTATTATTATTATTATTTTTTTAAGATTTTATTTATTTATTTGACAGAGAGAGACACAGTGAGAGCAGGATCACAAGCAGGGGGAGTGGGAGAGGGAGAAACAGGCTTCCCGCGGAGCAGGGAGCCCGATGCGGGGCTCGATCCCAGGACCCTGGGATCATGACCTGAGCCGAAGGCAGACGCTTAACGACTGAGCCACCCAGGCGCCCCTTTTTTATTATTTTTTAAAAGATTTTATTTATTTATTTGAGAGAGAGAGTGAGAGAGAGAGAGAGCACAAGAGGGAGGAGTGGGAGAGGGAGAAGCAGACTCCCTGCTGAGCAGGGAGCCCAATGCGGGACTCGATCCAGGGACTCCAGGATCACGACCAGGTGCTCCTGGGTGAAATAAATTTTAATAATATTTTCAATGTGATCCTGTGTATCTAAAATATTATCATCTCTGGGCGCCTGGGTGCCTCAGTCAGTTAAGCGTCTGCCTTCAGCTCAGGTCATGATCCCTGGGTCCTAGGATCGAGCCCCACCTCAGTGGGGAGCCTGCTTCTCCCTCTCCCTCTACCCTTTCCCCCACTTGTGTGTGCTCTCTCTCTCTCTTTCTCTCCTGCTCACTCTCTCTCTCAAATAAATAAATAAAATCTTAAAAAAATAAAATATTATCATCTCGACACATAATCAACCTTAAAAAAGGTATTAATGAGACATTTTACATTCTTTTTTTTTTTGAGTGCCCAGCCTCCAAAATCTGATGTGTGTTCCTCACTGACTACACATCTCAATTCATACCAGCCACAATTTAAGTGATCACTAGCCATGTGCACCCCCTGCTCCCCCCCCACCCCCGTTGTATGGGACAGCATGCTCCTCAGCCCATATTTTAAATGTTTACATATATAAATATTTACATTTGCAATGCCCTTTCTGTGTGTAAGCATATACACAAATAATTAATGGTTGAAATTCAACTGTATTCAGTGCAGTGCCCTGCCTTTTGTAAATATTTTATCATGAGAATTTTATTACCTAAGTCATTAAAAATTCTCCCTTACATTATTTTTTTTTTCATTTTTAAAAATTTAAATTCAATTAGCCAACTTGCAGTACTTCATTAGTTTCAGATGTAGTGTTCGATAACTTATCTCTCTTACATTGTTTTAACAGCTGGGCAATTTTTAGTAATGAATGTAACTGTTCTCCTATTATTGAGCCTGCCGGTGTTTTCACGGTTTTTTTTTTTTTCCTCATTTTTAGAAAAAACACTGAAGTGATCACTGACAGATTATTGCCTCTTTGATCATAGGTTAGATTCATGGAGGTTATACCTTGTCTTTTGTATTTGGCAATATGTTTTGAAGATCCTCCCTTATAGAACTGCTTTTGGGGGGGGGTGCCTGGGAGACTCAGTCGATTAGGCGTCTGCCTTCAGCTCAGGTCGTGACTCCAGGGTCCTGGGATCGAGTCCCACATCAGGCTCCCTGCTCAGCGGAAGTCTGTTTCTCCCTCTCCCTCTGCCCCTCCCCCCCACTCATGCTCTCCCTCTCTCCCTCTCTCTCTCTCTCTCCCCCTCTCTGTTTCAAATAAATAAATAAAATCTTAAAAAAAAAAAAAAAGAACTGCGTTTAGCATGTTAACAGCTGTGTAGTAGCTCCTGATTTATTTAGCCAATCCCGGGCGCCTGGGTGGCTCAGTTGGTTAAGCGACTGCCTTCGGCTCAGGTCATGATCCTGGAGTCCCTGGATCGAGTCCCGCATCGGGCTCCCTGCTCGGCAGGGAGCCTGCTTCTGCCTCTGACCCTCCCCCCTTCTCATGTGCTCTCTCTCTCTCATTCTCTCTGTCTCAAATAAATAAATAAATAAAAATCTTATTTAGCCAATCCCCTGCTAATGGCTAATGAGGTGGTTTCTGGAATTTGCTTGCATAAATGCAGCTGCAATGGCCCTCCTAGCATTTTGCACATCCTGGCATGTTTCCTGGGCAGACCTTTCTGTGGGGTGACTGGATGGTCTATTCCCGCAGCAAGGGCCAGAAACGATGTGACCCCGGGCAGAGCACCGGGGAGGATGCTGTCCTCTCCTTGGCCTGGGTGGGTGGGTGGGGAGGAACCCGCAGTCTCATGGGCAAACCTGTTTAAGCCCTGCACGTCTGTCTGCAGCTCGTGGTGCATGTGGGGGTGTCGGGCATGGCGACCACGGTCACGCTGGAGAAGTGCGGGCATAACAAGGGCTACAAGGGGCTGGACAACTGTCGCTTCTGCCCCGGCTCCCAGTGCTGCGTGGAGGACGGCCCGGAAAGCATTGACTCCATCATTGACATGGACGCTGTCTGTAAGAGGGTCACTACGCTGGGCTTGGACGTGTCGGTGACCATCTCACAAGATGCCGGCAGGTAGGGCACCTGGGGGTATGCACGAGTCGTGGCTTCCCTCGTCCACCTGCCCAGGCTAGTGGCGGGCAAGCCAAGCGTGTTGACTTTGGCCTCTGTGGGCTGAGCACTCACTCTTCACGAGGCCTGGAGCTAAATATATGCTCGGAACAGGTCCCACTGATTCTGCTTCCAGGACTCATGATGTATGGGTCTGCCCACTTGTCCCCACCCAGGCCCTGGTGTCTCCCACCTGGATGCTGCCCCAGCCACCTCCCTGGTGGTCCTCCTGCCCCCTCTGCCCCGGCCCTGACAGTGCTCCCCCTCTACGCCATGGGTTTCTGTGTTAGTTTTCTGTGACTGTTATAACAAAAACCATCAACTTGGTCGCTTAGGACAACAAAAGTTCACGCTGTCCAGTTCTGGAGGCTAGAAGTCCAAAACCAAGGTGTTGGCAACATTCGCTCCTTCTGGAGGCCCTGAGGGAGAATCAGTTCCTTGCCTCTCTCCCGGGTTTTGGTGGCTGTTGGTAACCCTTGGGGTTCCTTGGCCTGTGGCTGCATCACCCCAATCTCTGCCTCCATCTCCCCATGGCCTTCTTCCCTGTGTGCGTGTTCACATGGCCTTCTTATGAGGACTCCAGTCGTTGGATTTAGGACCCACCCTAGTCCAGTATGATTTCATCTTAGCTAATTATATCGGCAAAACCCCTATATCCAAATAAGGTCGCATTTTGAGGTTCTGAGTAAACATCAGTTTGGGGAAGAAACTCTAGCCTATTACAAGTCTTTTTTTTTTTTTTTTTAAAGATTTATTTATTTATTTTGAGAGAGCGAGAATGAGAGAGAGAGAGAGAGTACATGAGTGGGGGAGGGTCAGAGGGAGAAGCAGGCTCCTCGCTGAGCAGGGAGCCCAATGCGGGACTCGATCCCGGGACTCCGGGATCATGACCCGAGCCGAAGGCAGTCGCTTAACCGACTGAGCCACCCAGGTGCCCCTATTACAAGTCTTTTATACATTTAAATCAGATGGTGTCCTTTCCGTGCTTAATCCCTCCTGCAGCTCCCACTGCAGCTAGAATAAAATCCCAACCTATCTCCACCATCCACAGGTGGTGTGTGGTCTGGTCCCTGCCACCCCTCGCCCCTCATCTGCCTTCGCTCTTCCTGCCCCTACTGCATGCCAGCCCCACCAACCAGCCTCCTCTGGTTGCTCCAACACACCACACTCACTCTAGCCTCAGGGCCTTTGCACATGCTGTGGCCCCTGCTCAGAACTCACCTCCCTCGGATAAGGCATCTTTCAGGCCTTAGTTCCAACATGTTGCCTCCTTGGGGGGCCTCCGCAACCCCCTAGACCAAGCTGTGTCCTCTCTGTTCTATGTCTTGTCAGCACCAGTGTCTCCATTTCTCAGTACTCTGTACACTTCTCCAGCCCAAAGTCGGCGGTGACAGACTCAGTAGACTGAATGGAATAACCAAATTTGCCATCATTCTGTTTTTAAAACTAATTCCAGGGGTGCCCAGGTGGCTCAGTCAGTTAAGCATCTGCCTTCGGCTCAGGTCATGATCCCGGGGTCCTGGGATTGAGCCCCACATCGGGCTCCCTGCTGGGTGGGGAGTCTGATTCTCCTTCTCCCCCCTGCTCATGCTGTCTCTCTCTCTTGCTCTCTCTCTCTCTCTGTCAAATAAATAAATAAAATATTTTTTAAAAATAAAACTAATTCATGGGCGCCTGGGTGGCTCAGTTGGTTAAGCGACTGCCTTTGGCTCAGGTCATGATCCTGGAGTCCCCGGATCGAGTCCCACATAGGGCTCCCTGCTCGGCAGGGAGTCTGCTTCTCCCTCTGACCCTCCCCCCTCTCATGTGCTCTCTCTCATTCTCTCTCTCTCAAATAAATAAATAAAATCTTTTAAAAAAATAAATAAAAATAAAAAAATAAAAAAATAAAAATAAAACTAATTCTAAATTGCACAGATAATTCTAGAATATCTTCTCATATGCTCCCATCGTGAAAAATTCTCTTGCCTTCTCTCCTTCTCCTTAGCGATCCCTCTGTTAAATCTGCGACTTAATTGTAAAACCTCCTACACCTTTCCATAGACAGTTAACTCTTGAACAACATGGAGGGTAGGGGTGCTGACCGCCCCCCTGCATAACTGAAAATTGTGTACCATTTGACTCCCCACCCCCCAAATTTAATAGCCCACTGTTGACCAGAAACTTACTGATAACATAAACAGTTGATTAACACACATTTTGTATATGTATTATATACTGTATTCTTACAATAAAGTCAGCTAGAGAAAAGAAAATGTTATTATGAAAATCATAAGGAGGGGCGCCTGGCCAGCTCAGTCAGTGGAGTGTGCGACTCTTGATCTTGGGGCTGTGGGTTTGAGCCCCACATTGGGTGTAGAGCTTACATTAAAAAAAAAAATCATAAGGGGGCACCTGGGTGGCTCAGTCGGTTGAGCGTCTGCCTTCGGCTCAGGTCATGATCCCAGGGTCCTGGGATCGAGCCCCGCATCGGGCTCCCTGCTCCGCGGGAAGCCTGCTTCTCCCTCTCCCACTCCCCCTACTTGTGTTCCCTCTCTCGCTGTGTCTCTGTCTGTCAAATAAATAAATAAAATCTTTAAAAAAAAAATCATAAGGAAATGAAAGCAGCCCACGTATCCACTGGCTGATGAATTAATAAGAAGATGTGAGATACACACACACACGTATACATGTACACACACAGAGAGAGGAATATTACTCAGCCATAAAAAAGAATGAAATCTTGCCATTTGCAACAACGTGAACGGAACTAGAGACTGTTATGCTAAGTGAAATAAGTCAGAGAAAGAAAACTCCCTATGATTTCATTCATGTGTGGAATTTAAGAAACAGAACAAATGAGCAAAGGAAAAAAGAGAGAAAACAAGAAACAGATTCTTTATTTGTTTGACAGAGAGAGAGAGCACAAGCAGGGGGAGCGGCAGGTAGAGGGAGAAGCAGGCTTCCCGCTGAGCAGGGAGCTGGCTACGGGGCTCGATCCCAGGACCCCGGGATCATGACCTGAGCCGAAGGCAGACGCCTAACCGACTGAGCCACCCAGGCGCCCCACCAAGAGACAGATTCTTAACTGTAGAGGACAAACTGCAGGTTACCAGGGGGAGGTGGTGGGTGGGGGAAATAGGTGATGGGGATGAAGGAGGGCACTTGTCATGCTGAGCAGCAGGTGATGTATGGACGTGTTGAATCACTATATTGTACACCTGAAACTAATAGAACACTGTAGGGGCTCCTGGGTGGCTCAGTCAGTTAAGCCTCTGCCTTGGGCTCAGGTCATGATCCTGGGATCCTGGGATCGAGCCCCGCATCGGGCTCCCTGCTCGACGGGAAGCCTGCTTCTCCCTCTCCCTCTCCCCACTGCTGATGCTCTTTCGCTCTCTCTCTCAAATAAATAATTTAAAAAATAATAGAACACTATATATGAACTAACTGGAATTAAACTGGAACAAACTGGAATTAAAAAACACTTGAAGAAAACTATAAGGAAGAGAAAATATATTTATAATACTGTATTATATTTGGTGAAAACAATCCTTGTATGAGTATACCCTTGCAGTTCAAATACACGTTGTTCAGGGTCAGCTGCCTACAGAGCACTTGGTGTGCTGATTTAGGATTTTGTCCTATTTAGCTTTGCTCTCACGTGGATGGGGTTACACAATGTGCCTTTCTGAGCGCCCTCTTCCTTGATTTCACCTGTGGGCACACAACACGGGTCTTGGTGAATTCTCCGGTTCCCAATGGATCCACTGCATGCCTTGCAAATGGCTGCATAGTATTCATTCCATTGTGTGGCTGTTTCCATTTAGGAAGCCACTCCTCTGTCTGTGGACAGTCATGTTGTGTCACAGCCCGTTCGTTCTGCTGTAACAATATACCACTGACCAGGCAGCTTATAAGCAACACAAAGTGATTGCTCACAATTTTGGAGGTGGGGAAGTTCAAGATCATGGCACCAGCCTGGTCAGGTTCTGATGAAGGCCTCCCTCCAGGTTGCAGACTGCTGACTTCTTGCTGCATCCTCATGTGGCAGGAGGAGGAAGAAAGTTTTCTGGGGTCTCCTTTATAAGGGGTACTCACCCCCTTTGTGAGGACTCTCACTTCCCAAGGGCCCCACCTCTTAATACCAACACATTGGGAGTTAGGGCTTCAACACTGAGTTTGAGGAGAGACATTCAGACCCTAGCAGGTTGCTTCTTACTCTACTTTTATACTTAACAGTGCAGCGAACACCTTCTTCATCTTTCTTGTGCCCTCACGCAGATGGCTTCTGAAGGCAGATTCTCAAAACCGGCAAGAACATGTCATCAAGTCCAGGCATTTGTAATATTCCTAGCCTGCCAAATTCTCCCCCTGGGGCAATTGGCATTCCTGCTAGCCGTATCTCACTGCCTCCTTCCTCACATACACACCAGCACTTGGAGTTATCAGGTTTTTTTCATTTTTGCCAACCTGGGGGGTGGGAGGGAGAAGCAGTATTCCATCTTGTAGATTTCTGGCGAGGTTGGGGGTCTTACAGCAGATCTGGATGGAGGCTGTCCTGTTAGTCTATGTATTGACTCTCTGACCCCATTTTGGTCTCCCCTCCTGCCCCCAACGCCCTGAAACTTAGGTACCTCTGTGACTTCACCTACTACACCTCGCTGTACCAGAGTCATGGCCGCTCAGCCTTTGTTCACGTGCCTCCACTGGGCAAGCCCTACAACGCAGACCAGCTGGGCAGGGCGCTGCGGGCTATCATCGAGGAGATGCTGGATGTCCTGGAGCAGTCAGATGGCAAAATCAACTGTCGCCACAAACACTGAGAGCCTCTCGGGCCTCCCAAGACCTCGTCCCACTAGGGACCCCAGGAGGGACGTCCGCCCTCTGGGGGCCTGGCCAAGGAGGATAAGCCTGTCAGCTGGGGATCGGATTTGGATCAATATTCCAACGTACACACTTCCTCTCCCTTCTTCTCCACAAAAGGGCTGGTCGCTTTGAAGAAGGTGGCTGAAGATTTTTTTTCTCGATTTCCCTTTGCATCTGGGGACACAGCCACAATGGCTGGGAAGCTGGTGGGTCCTGATCTCCACAGGGAATCCTGGTCAAGTGGATCTCTGCTCTTGATCCCACAGCTGGGGCCACCTGCTCACCTGCTTTTCTAAGTCTCTGGTGAAGGGATTCCAGTGTTCCCTCTGTCCATGACTGGTTTTTCCCAAACTTAAAAACTCCTTGAAGAGTCTTTGCCCTGATCCATGTCCCAGCAGCTGGGACAGCCCTGGAAAGGGCTGCCTTGGGGTATGGCAGAGGCTTTTTTCCCTTCTCTTTCTTATTCTCTTTTTCAAAAACAATAGTGCTAGTTTGGGCACAGAGGAATTTATATTCCCTTTGGTTAAAACGCGGGCTTTCACCGACGACAAAGTGTCTTCTTTTTCCTGGGATGTGGCCCCTTCTTGCCTCTTTCTCTGAAACTGGGACCCACATCTTTGTGTCGGAGCTGACATCGGGTTCCGTTTCCTCAGGGCGGGCAGGGCCCTTGGCCAGGCCCTGGGCGGGTGGGAGCTGCTGCCCCAGCTGGTTAAAAAGGTGGGCTGACCCTTTCGACACCAGAGCCGTGAGCTGTACCCGTGGGGACTCTGGAGCAGGGGTAGGAAAACAGCCCTTGTCATTTTGACTTGCACGTGACTTTTTTTTTTTTTTTAATATGTAAAAATCTGTAGCAGCTGCAAACCCACCCCACATCTGGCCTGGATTTTTGCAGTCTTGGTGCTGGGGACCAGCTTCTTGTTCTCCTTAAGTTGGGGGGGTGGTGCCCAGAATGGGGCCCGGGGGCTGGAGTTTGCTGATCTCCATGTGTGCTGACGTGTTTGAGCAGGAGGTGCTGAAGCAGCCCGTGGGCTTTTGTGTAGATGGTTCTGGAGACGGAGTAAATTTTGATCTCACACCCTGGCAACTTTGAACTTAGCGGCCACGGAGGAGAGTAACCTCACCCAGGAGGCCACTGAATTCAGCTGGACCTTGATACCCGCCAGAGGAAAAGAATGACAGCAGCTGTGAAGCCAGCTGAGGCAAACACACATTTTGGAAGTGTTCTCCTGCTTGGGGGAGAAGATGGGGGTTTTATCATTTCCCTAAGTGTGAGGTGGACTGGAGTCTGATGCCAGGTTGGATCACGTCGGTGTTACCCAGCACGCAGTTCTTTCTAAAACAGAAGAGATTTTTGTTTTGTTTCATTTTCTCAAACATTCCCCTTCTTTGCCTCTTGTTCTGCTGGCCAGGGGAGTTTCTCTTCTCTGCTGAGCTGCTGTGTCGCTTGAGAACCGGGTTGATAGGTCTCTGAGTTAAATGCATTTTCTGGGTCCTGGGTTTTCTCCGGAGGGGAAAATGGCTCCAGGTGGGTGACTCGGGGCCGGCACTTGGCAGTGGGCGTGGCCTGTGGCTGGCAGGTTCAACTGATCGGGACTCTGCCCCTCTCTCCATGTCAGCCTGCCTTCTGCCAGAAATGCCCTGCTCACGTCCTCAGTCCGAGATTGCCGTCTCCTGAGAAATCTGCCGTGTGGGATTCCATAAGCAGAAATTGTGACTCTTCTGAATGTGGGGAACTCAAGCCTCGGGGGTCTCCCCAGAGGTCTTATTGAGAACGTTAGGCTTCATCTAGCTCTGATCCCCAAAGGTCTGATCTTCAGGGGTGTGAAGGAGGAAATGAATTCAGGCAAGATGGGGAGGGAAAGGGGGAGGGGGACCTGGAGATGAGCCAGGTCTGCACTTAGCTGGGTACCCACTGGAACCCGGACACACCATCCCCAAACTCCACATTTTCATCTTTCCTTTGTCTTCATTTTGCCTCTCTGTTTAAAGCACCATGTGATTCAGAGATATAGAGGTATAACTTATTGTCCGATCATTGTTGAGTGTATGCATGTCATTTTTGTGTTCCTGCAAAGGTTTTGGATTTTCTCATCAAGTCAAGCCAGAATCCTGTCCTTGTCCACGATGCAGAGCATTTTGCACGTTTTATTCAATCAGACAGCCATTAAACATTTCACCCACTTCGCGCCAGCTTTTTTTTTTATTTTCTAGTTTAAAAATGGTTTTCTTTTGGGCAAACTCATCTGTTCTCTCCATGGTGTGTCTGTCTGCATTTGTTGGGTGTCGGACTGAAATGTCCTCCTGTGAGAAAGGAGAACCAAGGCCCATTCTTGCTCCCTTGTCATTTGCAGAGTCTCAGGTGGAGGGGGGCACACAGAGCGGGGCCGAGGGACGGGTCTGTGAAGTAGGTGTGGCTTGGCGGGGTGTGGAGGGGAGAGACGCCAATGGGGGGAGGGGTGAGCAGGTGTTCAGGGTAGAAGGATGGGCAGTGGGATGTGGTGGGAAGGTTGCTGGGGGAATCTTGTAAGAAATTGGAGTGGGGGCCCCCATGGGGGTGCCGAGGTGGGGGAGAGGGGCAGCACCGGTCGTCTGGGTGTCTGGTGCTGGCATCTCCTTTATGGTGCTACAGCCTCCACACTGAAAGGGTTCCTTTCTTCTTCTCTCAGCCCCGTTCGGCTCCCCCTTGCTCACCAAAAACAAGGCCAGTGGGATGGACGTGAGCTTGTAGCTTGAAAAAGAAATAAGAAGGAGAGGTTAGTAAGAAGGAAAGAAAGGTGGGAAGAAGCAGGAATTTGAGTTGGTGGACTGGGTTTGTGCCACCTGGCCCGCCTGGTCCAATCAAAGAATGGCCAAGGTCCCTTGGCCACGGGGAGAGACGGGGGTAGGTGGGGGACAGAAATCATGGCTTCCCAAGTGGCGCCGGGCTTTTGCGGAAACGTCAGATCGCAATCGTTTCGGCAAGGAAAATCCTCTTCAGCCGCCTTGCTCTTTGCTGGCACGGTGACTTCTAGAACAGAAAGGGCCTGCTCAGGGAGATGGCTGGAAAAGGAGATTCAGGATGCCTTTTTGTTGTCTTAGAAGTGTCTGCCAGGAAACCAGGCCAGCTGGTGTGTGTGTGTGTGTGTGTGTGTACCCACGTGCCTGTGTGCCCCAGGGGCCGACTGGGCCAGGGAGGGGAGCTGCTCCTGGAAATCCGCCCACCGCACCCGGCCTCTTTCCTGCTGCCACTGTCTAGACTGTTGACCTTTGACCTCTCCACCCCTTGAGTGTTTAAACTCAAAAGTCCCCTTTGGGGATAGCGGGACAAAGCCCCATTCTTCTCTGCGGGCCCAGCCTCCACCCTGTGAGCGCGACCAGGGGCAGCCGGTGTGGGTGCTGGTGGTCCCGCGGGCAGAGGCAGGCCGCCGCGTTCCCAGGGGGCTCCCCGTGGCCGCGAATCCCACTGGATCCGCGGGACTTGGGGAGCCGAAGAGGGCTTTTATTTGTATATCCCAGATTACATTTCCCTTCCCCAGGCACAAGTGCCTCCTAAGGGCCTGGGGCTGCTGGCCAGGAGGGAGAACATCTCTTGTTTTTACAGTGGGAAAGTATGTTCCAGCCCTGAGCTGGTCCCCTCACCAAATCCCCCCCGCCGCCCACCCCCATCTCTCTCCTTACCAGGCCTTCCTTTTCAGCTGCCCCAAGACCCACAGAAGTGCCTGCCTCCCCAGTATGCATGGGGCACAGAGAAAGGAGACAAGGTGGGAAAGAGAGAAGCAACCCCAGGCTCTGGGAGGTGGCCCTGGCTCCCCAGGGCCCAGCCCAGGGTCACCAGAGCCATTTGCAGAGGTGGGGGACTGGGGTGAGTGGCTTTTGTGGCTGACACACTTTGTCTCTAGGAAATCCCAGAGAAAGCCGGTTTGGAATTGGACTCTGTGCTCCCAAGGCATGTGGCATCCCCAGGGACCAAGGAAGCAGGGTTGACTTTCTGCCTGCCCTGGGGGTGCTGGTGTGTTTCTGGGGCTCCCTTAACAGCTCAGGTTTCTAGCTCATCCTAAATCTCTCTTTAGGAAAAAACTTTCCTACCTAAGGTAACTGTGTTTTCTGTCCCCCAAGATGGGCCTGTCCCCTGCATCTCGGGGTGGCCTCTCCCTGAGCCCCAGAGTTCCTGTGAGTGCCTTGTCTGAAACCGTCCTGTCTGGGAGCCCAGGCCGGGGAAGGGTCTGTCGTGACTTTGCTGGGGGCTGGGCTCAGGAAGATCCCAAACTTGACACCCCAGAAAGCAAATAAAACAGTTGAAATACGTGATTTCTTGTGTGTCTTTGTGAGAGGTTAGGGTCCACCTCGGTCATCCTCTGCCTGAGGGCCTGAGTGGGCAGAGGGGCGTCCCTGATTCACTGGGATTTCTGTCCCTGGTTTGTGACCTGGTGCTCAGCCTGTGGTGGCTGTTATGAATGTGCTGAGTTAAGAATGACAAGATTTCTGTACTGAACGGTCTCCCTCCGCACAACCCAATGCATTTGTTCTGATGCACAGAGAGACTGAGTCACTTGCCTGTGGTCACACAGCAAGGGGGTGTGGCGCTGGGATTTGAATCACGATCGTTTAGACCCCAGCTCGTGCCGAGTTCCCACTCACAACTCTGTGGTGGGGGGTGCCATTACCACCTTTTACAGACGGGGAAACTGAGGCTCTGCCAGGTGAAGCCTCCTCTTGTCCCACGTGTCATGGCCAGGGGGCGGAGAGGCAGGAAAGCTGGCTCCAGGCCAGCTTCTTTGGAGCTAAGTAGTTTGAACCAGAAACAGGACTTGGTGACTCCCCTATGTCTGTCCTCAGGAGGAATGAAGACATTTTAAGGGTCAGGGGCTTTCAAAGAATAAATCTTTGAAACCAAAAGGACTTGTCTTGGCGAACGTGGGTCCAGGGGAGGGGGCACCTCCTCCAAGTCCCTGAGGACACAGGGTCTTCGCTCCCTCAGAGGAAGTGTCCTTTGCACCCAGCACAGCTCCAGGCGTGTAACTGGTGTGTAATAAAACTACGGGAGGACGAAGGAAAGGGGTGAGTGCGCGGTGTTGCATCCCGAGGCCAGCAGGGGGCGCAGAGAGGCGCTGGAACCTCCCGGGAGCGGAAGACACGCCCGCTTCCTTCTCCGGCCGACCTGCCCACGCCTCACGTCCTTGCCTTAGCCTGTGGCTACCTCGGTCACTTATGGAGTGCTTACTGTGCATTGGTTCCTGGGACTGGGGACACACCAGGGATCCAGCAGTTTCCAGGCTGGGAGTACAGTGCAGGGGACCCAGTAGTAATGAGGGAGGCACAGGCGGCTGAATAGTCCAAGGCAGATGGGGGGAGGTTCATGGGAGGGTACGGCTCGGAGAGGCCTCGCTTGGCCCCATTCAACAGTTTCCTTCAGCTCTCGCCTGGACATTCTCAGTCTTACTTGGAGATGAGGGTCTTGGACACCAGTCTCATCCTTCTAGTCCGCCCCATTCTGGGTATCTAATGAGGGCCCCTCTGCACCTCTCATATCCTCCACGGCTCCCTTTCGCTTACAGGAGAAAGCCAAACTCTTCTTCTGGGCATTTGAACCTCTGTTCTCTTTTTACCACTGATCTCAAGCTGGCTCCTCTGCCTGGAAGCCCCCCTGCCCCCATTTATACCTGGAGAACTCCTATGCATACCACAAAACCCAACGTCATCTTGCAACACGTTGAGTATGACAGTCCTGGGTAGGGAAAGGCAAGGGGGGGTGAAGTACTGAACCGGAAATCCCAAAGTCCTTCCCCCACACCCTCTTTCACTTTCCTACCCCCTCCTTTCTGCACTGGCAACTTGCCACCAGGCATTCAGCAGTTTCTACAAGGAGTGTCTCAGACCTGCCAGGACATGTCCAGGTCCCCAGGAAAGGGGGAGGGGCAGGCTTGGGTGGCACCCCTCCCACCTCCCCACACTGTGTGGTGCTGATGGGGGAGGTGGGGAGGCCAAGACAGAAAGACACTATGAGAGACTGAAAAGCAGAGATGCAGAGACAGCAAGGGAGAGATTCAAAAAGGGGCAGAGAGAAAATGTGGAAACTCCTTAGATATTTTCTCTTCCAAAGCCCCATGTTTAGAGTGAGGACAGTGAGAGGCAGGGAGGGCTCTAGCCAGCCAAGGGAAAGGATTTGAGACGTTGGGTGAGACAGGGGTGCCCTGCTCCGGGCCTCAGTTTCCCCCGTGATAAGGAGCTGATACCCCCACCCCCCTGGCAGGGTTGTGTGTCCCTGCTCCGCCATGGCCTGGCACCGAGTAGGTGCCCACCCTCGACAAGAAAAAAACCCAAGGTTAGAAGAGCCATTAGAGCAAACCGGCGTGGGGGGGCAGGGAGGAGGAAGGGCAGGCTCTGGGGGGGTTACCCCCACCAAACATTCCGGTCAGCGAACACGTGGGATCCCGAAGCCTGCTGCTTCAGCTGACCCACTTCCTGCCTCGCTCATTCTGTCCATAGTCCCCCTCGGTCAGGAACCCACACAGCCGGTCCCAGGGGCTGAGCTAACCACTTCCGCCCCAAGCAGCTTGGCCCGGGCTGACTCACACTCAGCTGTCCGCCCCCCTCCCCCACGGAGCATTAATGGGGGGCAAAGGGAGGGGCTGGCGGAGGCCCCAGGCCGGAATGCCGAGAGGTCAGGCTGGAAGCACCGCAGAGGAGAACCATACACCAGTTTTAACTGCCTGGCACATGAAAACCCACCCTTGACAAGGAAAAAAACCCGAATAACTGGAGGGTTTGGGATACATTAAACTCGATCACAATGTCCCACTTTCGGACACCCCAAAAAATCCATAAAGAAATTGAAAAGACAAGCCAGGGACTGAGAGATGTCTGCCATGCATTTAACTGATCAAGGAATAGCTTCCAGAACATAGGAAGACACACCAGAGGGAAGAAAAAACGCCCACCAAATATTAAGATGGGCGGATGACATTGTTTCATGGGGCGGCTGTAACAGTTACCACAAACTGATGGCTTAAAGAAGCAGAAATGTATTCTCTCACAGTCTGGAGGCCAGAAGTCCCAGATCAAAGTGTCGGCAGGGCTGGAGGCTGAAAGGGAGAATTGGTCTCAGGCCCCTCTTCCGGCTTCTGGGGGCTTCCCTCACTCCTTGATGGCCTTTGGCTTATGGCTCCATCATTTGCATCTCTGCCTCTGTTTTCACATGGCCTTCTTA